GAGCCGTGGGACGCGAGGCCCGGCGCGGGCCCGGAACCGTGCAGGGAGCGGGGCCCCGGCGAGGCCCCCCCCGACCCAGCCATCTGCCGCTTCGTCTCTGCGCGCGGGGAGAGCGGTGTCGGGCGGTGGTTGTGCGGGATGCGGAGTCCCGGTGGATCCGGGAGCGTGTCACTGCGGGCACCTGGGACCAGCTTTCTGGCTGCTAGAACCAGTTGTCCCGAGGTTTTGCTCAATGAAGCGATTTTTTCATTTGAGGGAAAAAAAAACCACCAAACTAATTCCCAAATAAGACATACCTGGAAGAAAAATGGCCATCTTTGGGATGGGAATAAATGCAGCAAGAGTTAGTGCTGAATAGACGGTTTCTAAAAAATGAAAAATACGCTAAAAGTGGAACCAACATCTGACATAATCTGCCTTTGCCGTGTCTCCTGTTGCATAGTGGGAATGAGTGTGACAGGTCGGCTGGTTTTTCCCTCCTTGGTGTTGGAAAAGGTACACGCAGTGTATTGATTAGGACATGAGAATCACAGACTGGTTTGGGGGGGAAGGGACCTTAAAGCCCACACAGTCCCACCCCCTGCCATGGGCAAGGACACCTTCCACTAGACCAGGTTGCTCCAAGCCTCATCCAGCCTGGCCTTGGACACTTCCAGGGATGGGGCATCCACAGCTTCTCTGGGCAACCTGTCCCAGTGCTCCCCACCCTCTCTGGGAAGAATTTCTTCCTAATGTCCCATCTAAATCTACCTTCTTTCAGCTGACACCTGTAACGCCTTGTCCTGTCGCTACAGGCTCTTGTAAAAAGACATTGAGGCAGCAGGGTGCTGCCAGGCTGCTTGTAGGTTTTACTTGGTCGAATCTTCAGTGTTTTGGGTTCTGACTGGAGCATTACCAGTGGGCCAGTGTTGTTGATCCAGCTCCTGTGGCTGTGGAAACACTGGTGCCGGAGTTGGGGAAAACACAGGCGGTAAGAGGAGTGGGAATGTATCTCCTGGGAACCACAGGGATTTAAACTGGTATAACGTGATGATGAAACTGCACCCTGGAATCGAATGACATTTTTGTTACCTCAGTCCTTTCCCCAGGTTGTGGCGATAGGAAATAAAGTGCTGACTTTGTGTTGAAATAATGTTTGCAGCATGGAGGGTTGGTTTGGTTTTTCCTACTCATCAGTAAATCGACGAGGTTTTTGGGGCCTAGCTGAACTTCTTTTTTCTTCCTCTTTTAACGTGTCGAAGGTTGGAGTGAGAGGGAAGGACATTGTTGTTCTCGGTGTGGAAAAGAAGTCTGTGGCAAAACTTCAGGATGAGAGAACTGTACGGAAGATCTGTGCTCTCGATGACAACGTCTGCATGGCTTTTGCAGGTATGGGATCCCTTCGGGGTTTTTGGCAGTTACTGGAGCACCTTTGGGTTTCTGGATTCTGAGAACATAAAATACTGCGCAACTGGCTGAGGGGTGTGGGACAGGAGTGTGTTTCCACAGTTGCTTATTCTCCTTTAAAGAGGGGTAGCCTACTGCATGGGTGAGTTTGTGGGGCAAGGCAGTGATCTAATGACAGGAATGTGAGTTAAAGTTACTGAGGTCCTCTAGGTTTAATGTGGGGGTGAATCCTGAGAACTGGTGTGTCAGCACAGATATATCTTGCTTAAATATACATATAAAAATGTATATACTTACACATATATTTTGTATATTTGAAGTTAAAGATTTAAATTTGTGTATAAAATCTGTGATATTAATACGTATCACTGGAGCTGTAGGAGACGTTCGTCAGTCACAGGGATATTTTCCCACATGCATCAAACCGAAAAAGCTAAATTTTTGCAGTCCTGAATAACCCAGAGAAAAATCTCCTCTCTTCTAGTTCAGAAGACTCCTCCTGAATGAACAGCTCTGGATTTGAAGCATAAATATTCTAGTTCCGCATTCTTCCTGTTCCACATGCCTTAATTTCTGTTGTTCAGAGCTTTAAACAGGAGGTGTGAAAGTTAAAAATACCAGTGTAAATGGAGGGAAAAAATGTATTTCAGGAGGTTTCTCCTCTCGTCAAGCAGTTTAGAATCTCGGTGTCAGTGATGCTTCAAGCAGCAGTGACGGCTTTGAGACTGGGCGTGCGGGCGCGATAGCTCAGCGGGTTCTGCTGCCGCCTCCCTTAGCTGAGGGCCGTGACACGTGCAGGTGGGCTCGCAAGCGTGGAGGAAAATTCTCTAACGGGAGCAAGGCTGTACACTGAAGTGTCGTCAGTAGCGAAAACGTAAAGTCAGAAATCAATTTCCTTGACCCTTTACAAAAACCGTAAATGCTCATTTTTGTTGACTGACGTTGCGCTGCAGCAGCCCGGTCAGCTAGATGAGATCGGCCGTGCGGGAGAGGCTGGCTGATGGCTACAGCACTGCGTGAGGAATAAAGCTGAGGTTGCCTTGCTGTTGGATGGAATGCTGTCAGGCAGCAACACCCCCCTTGCCTGGTTCAGAGCTGCCTGTGCTCTCTAACTCACAAGCATGGAAGCTGTGAACTAAATCCTCTGCTTATTTTTGTACATTAGCTTCTTCCTGTTGCCTTAAAAACGCTGCTCTTGCTCAGCAAACACGAGAAAGCGTGATCTCTCGTGCCCTTTTTCATTGCTGTTGATGCTGACCCTGCAAGCCTTTTGGGGCAGGACTGGCTGTTTCACCCGTGCGCAGGGTGCGGAGCATGAATCTGCGCACGCGCTGTCGTTTCAGGGCTGACGGCTGATGCCAGAATAGTGATAAACAGAGCTCGTGTGGAGTGCCAGAGCCACAGGCTTACAGTGGAGGATCCCGTCACCGTGGAGTACATCACACGTTACATTGCTAGTCTGAAGCAGGTACGTTGGACCGCGCAGAGGTGCTTAAATACGTGTCCTGGCGAACGGCGCTCAAAACTAAGCGTGTAAAATGAGCGTAACGCAACACGCTGCAGCCGTTTGTTGGAAACGGGGATGCAGTAATAGAACAGGCAGATTGATTGCTGTCTGCTGTCTGTTTCCCTCAAGATGAAAAAATCAATTAGCCCTTGTAAGGGCTGCGTAACTGCGTTTGTGATACCGTCAGGAGCACTGCTAATCCACAGCTCTGACTCGCTCTCAGAGCAGTGGTGCTGCGGTGCTGTCACAACGTCTTTGTGGCTCCTGTTCATTCTCCTCCTACTAAACCGCTGTAGGGAGGGGCAAGAGGGGAGCAAATCAGTGCAGTACTTAATGTTTTACATTTGATATTCATGAATTTAAAATGACACAGAGCTTCAAAATATGCCCAACTGCGTTCTGTGATAGAATTATTCACTGGCCAGTGTATTAAACTGATTGTCAGCGACTAGTCAGGAGTAGAAAAAGTCCAGTTTACTTCCACACAGATGTGTTAGTGATGACAATAGTGTAGTTCGTGTGGTAGTCACTTGCCTGCCAGAGCAGAACGCTGCTTCCCCGACTTCACAGAGTGGAAGGGGGTGGAAGGGACCTCTAGAGATCATCCAGTCCACCCCCCCTGCCAGAGCAGGATCCCCTGGAGTAGATCACTCAGGCACAAGTCCAGGCAGCTTTGGAAAGTCTCCAGGGGAGGAGACTCCCCCACCTCTCCGGGCAGCCTGTTCCGGGCTCTGTTACCCTCACAGTGAAGAAGGGTTTCCTCATGGTCAGGTTGAACCTTCTGTTTTCCAGTGTGTGGCCACTGCCCCTCGTCCTGTCACTGGACACCACTGAGAAGAGCCTGGGCCCATCCTCCTGACACCTACCCTTTAGATATTGATAAGCATTGATAAGACCCCACTCAGCCTCCTCCAGCTGAACAGACCCAGCTCCCTCAGCCTTTCCTCATATGGAAGGTGCTCCAGGCCCTTCATCATCTCAGTGGCCCTGTGCTGGACTCTCTCCAGTAGCTCCTTGTCCTTCTTGAGCTGAGGAGCCCAGAACCGGACACAGCACTCCAGGGGAGGCCTCACCAGCACAGAGCAGAGGGGGAGGAGAACTTCCCTCGACCTACTGGCCACACTCTCCTTAATGTACCCCATGATGCCACTGGCCTTCCTTTACAGCAGTCTCACATCGGTTCTTTCCTTCTGGCACGGTCACGATTTCTCCAAAACTCTTACAAGACACAGATCTCGGCAGCATTGCTGCTGCCGGTGTCAGGCCGCCTTGTTGTGGGCAATTCTGGCGTGTGACGCAGCGCCGCCTCGCTGAGCCCTGTCAGGAGGGGGTGTAACGCTGCTGTAGCGGTACGCGGAGGCTGCAGGGTGTCTGCCGGGATGGCTGCGGGGCGCTGGTAGAAACCTGTTCAGTGTCCGCATCCTCCCTTCCGGCTTCTGGAAGAGTGGGGCGTTCCACTGGGCGTGCAGGCCTGGTGCTCTGCCTCCACGCGGCTGAGGGACGTTCTTCCCGACAGACTGCCAGGGGCGTTCGGAAGAGGGGTTGCACAGCCGCCCTCTTCCTGGCCTGCCTCGTGGGGGCTGTAAGACGCAGAATCCCAGCTTCAGCGGGCGGAGAGCCCGCTCTGAATGTTCTGGTGCCTCTCCGGTTGGGACTTGTACGGTGTCGGCTATAAAAGTGTCCGTGGAGCCGCTTCTGAAGCCAGTGTCTGTTCTCTGATCAGAGGTACACGCAGAGCAACGGCCGCAGACCTTTTGGTATCTCTGCTCTTATCGTGGGATTTGACTTCGACGGGACTCCCCGGCTGTACCAGACCGATCCCTCCGGTACATACCATGCTTGGAAGGTGAGCGGGTTCTTCTCTGCGGAGCGGTGAAATGTCTGTGAGCTAACGGCCCCTTTAAGGGGAGACGGTAGGAAGGAGATCTTGCTGCCCAGCTGGTGCTGGCTCATGGCTGCAAAAATCCTTAATGATAAATTCACGGGGAACGGCAGCCTGCAGTTCGGCTTTCCCTGGGAAATCCTGTCCCATTTTCCAAAAAACACCAGTGCCCAACTGCGTGACGCTTGGACAGCGATGTGGTCAGTCGTGGTCGTGAGAAACGCGTGCTGACACGGGATGGCTTCAGCTCCTGTAACTGCACAGCTTGTCTCTCATACTCTGCGGGCGAGTCGTTTCTGAACCTCCGCTCGCTGCCCTAACCCTAACTGTAACCCTGCCTCCTTCCCCCCGCTGCCTCCTTCCCCTCGCTGTTTCCAGGCTAACGCCATTGGCAGAGGAGCCAAATCGGTGCGTGAATTTCTGGAGAAAAACTATACCGACGAAGCCATCGAAACTGACGATTTAACCATCAAACTGGTCATCAAGGCTCTTCTCGAGGTGAGTCCGTTCGAGATCCTGTGTGCAACTCCTCGCGGGATGCCCGTGTTGGTGTGAGGACGTGTGCCGTCCCGTGACGTGCGCCGGGGTTTCCCTGGGAATGGATGAATGAGAACTCTTTGCTGTGGGCTGTACGTGTGGGATGAAATTCAGGGGTCGGAATGTCTTGGGTAACAGTTTCCTCTGGGGAGGAAAAGCCGAGAGGGAAGTCTCTGGGGGAACAGGCTGGGAGAGTTGGGGGGTTCAGCCTGGAGAAGGGAAGGCTCTGGGGAGACCTCAGAGCCCCTTCCAGTGCCTGGGGGGCTACAAGAAAGCTGGGGGGGGACTTTTTCCAAGGACAGGGAGTGACAGGATGAGGGTTGACGGGTTTAAACTGAAAGAGGGAGATGGGACATCAGGAAGGCATTCTTCCCACAGAGGGTGGGGAGGCACTGGGACAGGTTGCCCAGAGAAGCTGTGGATGCCCCATCCCTGGAAGTGTCCAAGGCCAGGCTGGATGAGGCTTGGAGCAACCTGGTCTAGTGGAAGGTGTCCCTGCCCATGGCAGGGGGTGGGATTGGGTGGACTTTAAGGTCCCTTCCCACCCAAAGCATCCTGTGACTCTGCTAAGAGAGAGTTCAGGTCTGGGTGTTAAATCTACCAGATGTGCTAAACCATGTGGAGTGGTTGGTGGGTTTTTTTTTTTTGATACTGAAGTTTGGGATGCAGAAACCATCCCAGTCAGCTGAGGGGTTCACCAGCCACGAAGCACCTTGATGAAGACCCGTGGGGTGGTTTTTTTGTTTTTTGCAAGTCACGCTGTTACTGGAGTCGAGAGCTTAGAGCTGATGAGCGAAATACTCCCCCATCCATCTCTCTTCTCCAAGATGACCCGAAGGGAGAAGAGAAGAGAGATGGATGGGGGAGTATTTAGAATTAATGGACACTTGTATCCAACTCTGGCTCAGGTGGTGCAGTCCGGTGGGAAGAACATCGAGCTGGCGGTTATGCGGCGAGAACAACCCCTCAAGGTACCCTCCTTTGTTTTGCCTTCCGCCCTTCCCAGTGCAAATCAACAACAGCTGTCTCAGACGCTCGACTGCAGCCCCTAATCTCGCTGGCAGATAATTCTGCTCGTTATTAGTGACCAAGGAATGTTGTTGTGTCTGCACAGGGTGACGAATCCCAGTTCCCTCGCCCTCTCGGGAGCCTCCGAGTTGCTTTGGGATCACGAGGGTCACCCGTGTTTTCTGTTTTAGATCCTAAACCCTGAGGAGATTGAGAAGTACGTTGCTGAGATCGAAAAGGAAAAGGAAGAAAACGAAAAGAAGAAACAGAAGAAAACCTCATGATGAATGAAACTCGACGGCTTGGCTGCTGCTTTTTAACGCAAGCGGTGGGTTATTCCGCGTAGCCAGCGTGTAGGCATTCCATTTCCTGTGCCCCTCTCAAGACCTACAATAAACCTACCGAGTTGTTTTTTTTTTTAATTTTTTTTTTTTTAAGAAAAATCTATTCCTTGGATTTTAATGGCCTGGGATTATGTGGTTGGCTACTGAGCAGCAGTGGCAACCCAGTAAAGGACAAAGACTTGCTCTGCATTCTCCTCCTCTTCTATTTCCCTCTCTTTAAGGGTTGTTTTCAGCTGTTGGTTTCTCCCTTTTCCTCCTAAATTAGCTGTCTCAAGGGTTGTGGTACAGCCTTAGCAGGCCCTAACTGATGGAATTGTCCTTTTTCTTCCCAAACCAGCATCTCACCCCTCAAGGGTGAGGGGGGTTAGGTTTACTGCTGCAGCTCAGCACGGCGGGGGGAAAGGAGGCAATGCTTGGGGAGGGCTGTGCGAGAACCGGCTTCGCAGAGTTGTGGGGAAAGCGCTGCTGTTGTGCTGGCCCCCAGGGGAGTGATGATGGGCCTTC